TCCCTACATGTAAAGTGGGGATGTTTTTTTTTTCGTCATCTACCCCATCGTGTGGGGTATATTTGGATAGGTCTTTTAAAATGGCTTAGGGTTTTCTAAGACTTTTTTTCCATTTAGGAATCTGTTTGGAAATTATTAAAGTTTAAAGTGCCACATCAAACGTAGTTGTCATTTGTTATTTCCATTTGAAACAACCAACTACACTAACTCCATTAACTCATGCTGTATCAGAAGGGCCTTGCGGTGCATATCATGTTCCAGATAACAAACAGCTCATAATGGCTCATTGTATGCAATTTGAATACGTTGCTAATCGGCACAATTAACATTTTGTCTGCAACTTTGTTTACATTGCTAGTGTTGCATGTGCACACTTGGTTGATATGAATAATCATAGTAAATAACGCCCGTATTCGCGTTAGCAGCGTGGGCAGGCCTCCTACTAGGTGGACCGACGATCTGGTGAAGGTCGCGGGAAGAGCCTGGATGCGGGCAGCGCAGGACCGTTCATTGTGGAAAACCTTGGGGGAGGCCTTTGTCCAGCAGTGGACGTCATTTGGCTGAAAACGAACGCCCGTATTCACAAACATTACTATGAGGACTCACAGTGCGCGTGGACGCACAGGGTGACACACGAACCAATCATAGTTCAACGCTGTGCGTTCGATTTGCTGCGTCATTTATGCAAGCATCGTTTGTGAATACGTCAATGTCGTCACAGTTTGGTTTCCAATTGGAACGTGTGTCGTATAGGAGGGGCACAGAAGGGTGTTTTTGTAACGGCCAAATGTCAGCGAAACTTCAGACTACCTATACATACATCTATCAAACTTGTAATACCTATATGTTTTTGAGAGCGATTTAATTAAGTTACTTGTTGTGGAAGCTGGATGAAATCTAAATGGCTGAAAAAGTTTGCAAATTAACCCTTAAGACTTATACATAGACTTCATAATATGGGCTTTCTATCGTAAATACATTAAAAAGAAAAAGAATTTAATGGAAGCTCCCAAAGCATTTTGATGAAAAATCCCTGACATTGATTTCGCGATATGGCCACAATGGCCATTTAAAAATCCATAAAAATCATTTCCAAACACTAATTGTGCCACCTTTGTACGGGATTACAGACCGTGACTATTAAGTGTATGTCCTCGAATGTAGCGTTCATAACGTTTTATTAAACCCTAAAAATTATCAGATTGGTCGGTCAGTTAATGACGCATAGCGCAGTAGAGATCAGAATAATTAAATTACAATCTTCAAACGTCACTGAACAGATATATTTTCTAAAATCATAGCTAAGACCACTCTTGGTCAATAAGCTATCAATCGATAAAATCGAAATCAGTTCACCTATTTTGAAGCTACATGATATAATGCAAGTAGGNTTCGGCCGTAACTCCATTAACTCAAGCTCTATCAGAAGGGCCTTGCGGTGCATATCATGTTTCAGATAACAAACAGCTCATAATGGCTCATTGTATGCAATTTGAATACGTTGCTAATCGGCACAATTAACATTTTGTCTGCAACTTTGCTTACATTGCTAGTGTTGCATGTGCACACTTGGTTGATATGAATAATCATAGTAAATAACGCCCGTATTCACAAACATTACTATGAGGTCTCACAGTGCGCGTGGACGCACAGGGTGATACACGAACCAATCACAGTTCAACGCTGTGCGTTCGATTTGCTGCGTCATTTATGCAAGCATCGTTTGTGAATACGGGTGTAATCAAAGAATCAGCCTGTGACTTCTAAAACTTACTCAACCTTGTCACTGGTTTGGTTCCCCGTTGCAACCAACTACGAGTAGATACCTAGAGATCAGGTAGATTGTTTGAGGTAGGATTGCTTGATATAAATACAGGGTGTTAGGTAAATGGGTATATGAGCCGACACTAGCCTATGTTAACATGGGCATATAAATGGTATGGTGAAGTCAGAAAATTGATATCTTCATTTTAACTACACTCGACATCAAATAAATCGCACCTCCCGCGACAAGCATTTTCAAACGTATGCATCCCCACTTCCTACCAATATTGGCACCATTTGAAAGCCTCGTTCTAAACTTCATTTCATTAAAGGAAAGGGATTTACCCCAAAAATGTGTCTTTAGAAGGAAGCAGAGTCACTTCTTCAAAAAATAGGTAGTTACGCTTGAGCCAACTTTTATGGCTATAAAACTGTTAAGTTGGAATTAATCGCTACCCATCTGTTAAAGAGGACACGTGTGATCATTATTTGGTTTTATAACCATAAAATTTAGTCTAATTGATCCCAGAGGTGAGCCCAAAGTGAGGTCGTTTTTCAAGTCACATTTATGATATATGTTAATCATTTATTAAGAAATTAAATGTGTTTTTCTATAAGGATATTTATTGGGCTTTCAAATAACACCAATATTGTTGGGGCACCATGATTGTGTCAGAAGAAAATCATTTAAGTTCGCGTCGCGGAAGGAGCGGTTTATTTGATGTTGAGTATATTTTTATTTTCATACAAATCGGATTTTATAAAATTTATTTTGTATGAAAATTAAAATAAAAAAAATATGATATCAAATTTCTGACTTCATCATACCATTTATATGCCCATGTTAACATAGGCTAGTGTCGGCTCATATACCCATTTACCTAACACCCTGTATATTACCGTGTACCTATGTCCGCTTCTGATGGAAGCTGGATGAAATCTGACTGACTGAAAACGTTTGTAAATTTGCCCATCTTCCCTTCAGGGATTTTTCATCACTTTGATGAAAAATCCCTGACATTGATTTCGCGATATGGCAACAATGGCCATTTAAAAATCCATAAAAATCATTTCCAAACACTAATTATTGTGCCACCTTTGTACGGGATCACAGACCGTGAGTATGTGTATGTCCTCGAATGTAGCGTTTCTTCATAATGAAACAAGATTAAGCTACAGTAATAAACAATAAATATTTTGTATGACTTAATATAAAAATATCAGGATCTCATAAATAATTGGTTTTAGGCATTTTTCTGTATTACTATACTGCGACAAGGTGCTTAAATTTAGTTGTTCTCTGTTTTTTAGTAAATACACAGATTAATCAATGATGCGCTTAGTAGCGCAGTAAAAATCTGAATCATCTTCAAACGTCACTAAATAGATTCTATTTCTAAAATCATAATAGCCAAGACCACTCTTGGTCACTAAGATCTCAATTGATAAAATCGAAATCAGTTCACCTATTTTGAAGCTACATAATATAATGCAAGTAATGCAACAGACAAACACCAAGATAGTTTTATACCTGATTTTCTAGACACAATAATGTCTAAAAACAAAAAAAACACGTATTCGCTATAACTCTTACCCTGTACCCTATAAGGTGTCAAAATCTCACTAATGATTAACATTATTTCACTGGAACCTACATTTGCTACCAAATCCACAACCAAACCAAATGAGACCTTACCCTTCTGTAAGTACAGTTCCATTTTATTTTCACGGTCAGTGAGCAGCATGACTATATGGGCCAAGGGACTGTAATGGCGTATCAAATAAGTTGATCTTTTCTCAGAAGGTGTGTTATTGTTAACAACGTGCGAAGTGTTATTCCGTTATTCTTTAACTGCACAGCTAATTGGTTTTCCGATTGTGATTTAGAGGTGAACGTTTTGCAGGATCGTTGGTGGTTTTATAAAGTACATTCTCCTACGTTCTGTGTGTTGTCCTAACTACAACTTCTTGGACAAATAAATTTGAATATAGGTAGTAATGCGTTGAGTTGCTGAAGTTTGAACTACTCTGTAACGTAACTTTAAACATTGTAGGCCAGTAGAATTAAACACAAAAATTGATTAAATCGGAAATAATTCCTACAAAAGATTTTTTTGCTTTAATGGCTTCATTGGTTGCCCATTAGGAATCTCCTAAGNATTCCGTTATTCTTTATATATTATTATTCTTTAACTGGACAGCTAATTGGTTTCCCGATTGTGATTTAGAGGCGAACGTTTTGCAGGATCGTTGGTGGTTTTGTAAAGTACCTACTCTTACGTTCTATGGGTTGTCGTAACTACAACTTTTTGAATAAATAAATCTGGAATATATGTAGTCCTTCTCTTTGTCGTGTCGACAACAAACCTACACAGCGTCAGCCCAAAACTCCGCCACAAGAATGGCGTTGTCAGTAGCCTTCATTTAATGAATTGAAATGAATGAGCTTCGTCGACTGGGGAACAGAACCACACCTGCACTCCCAAGTTTGAACCATCCCAGAATCCCCACCAATATAGGTAGTAATGCTTTGAGTTGCTGAAGTTTGAACTACTCTGTAACGTATTAACTTTAGAAATTTTTATTGTTTTCATCCAGGAATGGTTAATTTTTGACATTATAAATTGATTCAGATTACTAAGTTTTTATTTTGAGGTAGGCAGCAGGTATTTACAAAATTCCAAGGACTAATTTTCATTGATGTAATGGCATTACCATGCAGGCATTATCTGATTGCAGTTATGCATTGTGCGACTTTGGTGTCAAAAACTATTAATAACTAAAAGAAAGATTAGCATAAAGTGAAAATCAAATAATAAAAAGCAATTTTCTACCACTAAAACTAAAGTACAGAATAATACTCCAGTAAGTTCATTAATCGAAAGTGCAATTGTTCCATCAAAAGGGTCGCAGTAAACGTGGGTGTGACTTTGAAGAAAAGAGAAAGCGACAGAACTGACTCACGTTACAAACAAACAACAGTTAAAATTCATTGTGAAACACAAAGATGTGTTTTTGATTAAATATCTGTCTGAGTTAAATGATGGATTGATTCTCATTAAGATTTCTGCGGTCCTGGACTTATTTGCAGTGCAAAATTAAGTTAACCGTTAAAATAGAGCTATTAGAATTAAATGAAGGTAAAAACTATCAGTAGTAGTGTTTTAAGTTTTATTGTTTTTAGGCATTTAATCTATAAGGGTTAACGTAATGAAACTGACCTAAAATACACAACAGCAGAATGGCCCGACGTGAGGCAATAAATTTCTAGAAAACACCATGCCACTTTTACGTCGCACCACTCACAATAATATTATCTATTTATTTTTTCAGCCAATACCTTCCAATACTGCTAATGTCTAGTAATAATCTTTAGCGCACGGTTTGCGGCATGTCTTATAACTTCCTTCATTGCACAGATAAGTACGAACTTTTTTAGCTAGAGGGCAGTCCAGTCTTCCACAGGGTCCATGAACATCTCTCTTGTTCACAAATTGGCCGTGTTGGTACTTCCCTTTGATAGTTTCCCCAGGGATGAACTGGTGCTGACTGCCACGATAGTCCATCCTTTTGGGACAGTTGGTTCCACCGCAAGGGCCCTTGGGGAAGCCCATTGCAAGAATTGCAAGCTCACTGCTTGTGAATGGTGCCACAAAGTCGTCATATATCACCGGCTCTTCAACAGGCCTTATTGGTTCTCTACAAATGTCAGGAGCACCGAAAATATATGCCACTGGTGGCACAGCGTCTATGGTAGTTCCTTCCCAATGCCGGACTACCTCAACGTCCTTCAACTTCAAATCGTCTGATAAATACTTCCTACCAGGCAATCTTTCCATTTCTGGTAAAGCTACGAAGTAACTGATCACTCTGTTCCCTAAGCATGACAATCTGATGAAAAATTCGATTTCACCAGATGTTTTTAAATCTTCCTCACATTGCAATGGTCTTGTCAACTCAACGGTGTTTGTGATCATTTCTGGTCTGGTTGTCGTTCTGTACTCAGCTTGATCCATATTAACTGGGTTCAACTCTCCAGCTCTTTGAAGGCAATTAAAGAAAGTTTCATTCCATTCCACTATGCAAAAACCAATGCAGTTCATCTCCTGGTCTCTGTTCCAGACCGTGATATAAATAGGGGTTTTTCTTAGTACTTCTTCCAATTTAGAAGGCCTTGAAAGGAACATGATAGAGTTTCCAACGCCGAAGTAAGGAGGCTGTGGTAACGGCTCTGATGGTAGGATAATTTTTTTAGGAGGTTGTTTTCCTTTCTTCGGAGGCTTAGGCTTAGCAGGTTTGCCTTTCTTCCCAGGAGGTGGAGGAGGTGGGGGTGCAATGAAATTATCATGTGCTACGTAGAAGTCAAAAAGTGGTAGGCAGTTCATCTGTAAGGTGCAGGTCTGCATGAACTTCATTTCTTCCTCTGAAGGCATCGGTGGTTCTTTTCCTTTTTTCCCTTTCTTTGGCTTGTCTTTTCCTTTCTTGCCCTTTTTAAGTGCTTCGGCTGCTGCTAAAGCTTCTGCTTCCCTCTTTCTCTCCTCTTCTTCCATTTTGAGTTCGTACTCATCTTTTTGAGGAGGCTCGATCTTAAGCACTATTTTTTTCACAAAAACTTCGATCATAAAAATTTGCTCCATTAATCTGAAATGAAACAAACAACTTATGTAGTTTGAAACTTTACATTAAATCATTAATCGGTAGGTGGGTGAATGTGAATCTATAAAAATCTGCTGTAGATAATGTAATAGAATATCATTAAACAAACTTGTACCTACATAGAACTCCATTAACTACGTCTACATAAAAAAATAGGTTTTTAATCAATGAGCACTAGGTTAAATAGAACAGAGTCATAATGCAAAAAAAAATATTAAATCTCTACTTCAAGAAACAAGAGTAAAGAAGTGTTCACGATGTCTGTAACATTTTTCAAGAGAAAAAAACAATAGGATACTTACAAAAATATTATCTTTCACTTCGGTATAATTTCCTTAACCTACAATAACCAGACAAAGATGTGAGCATACTAATTTTGCAAGAATATACACGGCTAATTTGTTTTCATTATTTTGATGTTCAAAAGACTAGAAATTTTGAAATCGGCAATGCGCCAAACTTGATGTTTCAAACCATACTGAATTTTCAACTGTCAAGTCATTATATTTGACGTTTACAAAGTGATCATTTAAAAAGTAGGTTGAACTTCATTTTGTATCCTCCGTGATGTGATCTTTTTAAACATCCTGGGTTATTTACGAACAAAGATTTTTCCAGAGTCCAATAAGGTTGTACCTACTCTTCAAAAAGTTTACTCGCTACGAAATTATTTACATCTATCCATATTGATAAAAATTGAATTTACTGTCGTATTGGTTTCAAACAAACTACTAACGAAAGAACTCCTTCTGAACTTTATCATCCTCGTACTTGCCCAACAAAAAACCAAGTCTATCAAGCCTCACTTAACCTACATCCTAACCAAAACAGTATCTGGACAAAAAGCGTCCGTTTGCTCGTCGTATAATAACAAAATCACCCACAACAAAAAGAGTACGAGGAGAGTTCATCATGCGAGGTCACATTTACGCACGCGGGCAGCGTAGAGGGGAGGCGGGGGGAGGGTGCGCGGGCGCAGGACAAGTCTGTTTGGTTTAGGATGTAAGAATTTGTGGATAAGGCTTAATAATTTGGAAGGAGTAATTTCTATTCTACAGGTAAAGCTAAAAAAATTCCGAGCTACTCAAAACGACTAGATCAGTTTAAAATGAAACCTTTAGAAAACCGTAGAACTGCACTCGATCTTATATTTTTATTTAAACTAATAAATGGAATTGTTGACTGTCCACATCTTCTATCTAAACTCAATCTTAAAGTTCCCTAAAAATATCCTAGATATCCAATCAAAATCCTGTGTCCGCCCTTCAGAAAAACGGTATCTGGATCCTACTCCCCAATATCTAGACTCTGTAAATTGTATAATGAGTACAGCACTGAAATAGACTTATTTGGCATGTCGATTAATAAATTTAGGCGTCAAGCACACTTATTAGATAAGTAGATCAATGTCTACAGTAACATACCTACTAATCCTTTCATTATGCATGCTGTGTTTGCCCATTTCATATATTGTACAATTAGAAATTAAGTTAGAATTTAGTAATTTTACAAGTATTATTGTACAATTGTTGGCAGACCAATAAAATAAATAAATAAATAAATAATCTTATTTTCACATGCTATTGCAAGTTGTATCACTGTTGTATTTATGATCATTAACATCATTAGGTGATTTTGTCTCCACTTCAGGAGTATCCTCCTTTATTTCATCAGCATTATCATCATCATTTCAGCCACAGGACGCCCACTGTTGAACTTGAGCCTCCCCCAATGATTTCTAAATTGGTTGGTTGGCCCGCATCCACCAGCGCGTTCTTACCATCTTTATGAGGTCGTCTGTCCATCTTGTAAGTGGATCGTATGTGTATCCCCTTCTGATTATTGGTTCATTCTTCGACTACTTCATAATCATATTGAAGTTGATTTATTAATCAAATCAAATCAAATAAATTTATTTGCTTTAAACCAGGTTGTAAAGAAATAACTCTACATAAAAGCCAATTAATGTGGTCCAGAGCAGAAAATAAGTCATCTATCTTACGACGATTTAAGACTTTTAGAATAATGAGTTACACAGTGTTTAATCTCACAACCTTTACCATTTACCCTCAATCAAGTATTTAGCAAATTATTTTCAATTAAATATTTTCTACTAGTCCAAAAATTCTTCACTCTTTGACGCTGCGCACGGGCACACTTTCCATCTCGCTCGCACGATGATATTTAAATTTAGCACCAGCCTTATATTATGTTTAGCTTCGTATATCGATACTATGAGCTGATGCAACGTGCATGTAAACCTGTGTTTTGTTTCTATGGGGCTGATGTGGTAAGTGTTTCTTAGGGGATGGAAATTACACGACTGAGTGATATAGTTACCTAAGATTTATGTTTTGTAGCGATTTTACTTTAGAATAGAAATTTTAAAACCCTATGAATGTTTTAAATGCTATAAATTAAAGAACCTCAAGAACCAGCAGAAGTAATTTATCCCATAAGACTAATGCCCGTTTTCACCATCAATCCCTAAGATTTAAGTGACCCCTATGGTAACACTAATATGAATTTTGTTGGTATAGGGGTCACTTAAAAATTAGGGATTGATGGTGAAAACGGGCATAAGACTTTAAAAAAAAATATCCATTCCTGGAAGGTTAGAGGGCACCTCCACCACCATGCTCCTGCATTGGAGACTAACCCCCGTATTCACAAACATTACTATGAGGTCTCACAATGCGTGTGGACACACAGGGTGACACTTGAACCAATCACAGAGCTCTATTCAACGCTGTGCGTTCTATTTGCTGCTTCACTTAAACAAGTATCGTTTGTGAATACAGGCTTAAATTACTTGATGATGATTATTATGTACATAGATAGGGCACAAAATCTTGATGATGATTATGTGTATATAGATAGGGCACAAAATCTTGTTTGTGATAAAGGTCAATCCCTTTTTCTAACAAAAAAAAGCTGCCAAACAATTTCAAAAGTCGAAATGAGCTTAAAAATACACACAAAGCTTCCTCGCTACATAAGTTAATAAGAGTTACAGTATCTAATAAAGGCTATAAAATTTTCCGTTTCTGGCGCGATGGCCGGGGTGGGGGGCGGGTCGTTAGCCACGGAACCGGTAGCGAGTGCGCATCGGGCAGCTGCGCCGGCGCTTGTAAGGCGGCGATCACAGGGTTCAGTGGGATTGATTTATTTTTATATTGAGGTTTAAATGAATTTACTCTTTACCTATGTCTGTTGCCTTAAGGTAGTCTTTCGAAGCGAGCGTCTATAGCGTCAGTGGCGCCGCGACTGTGACGCCGCAACAGAGCGACAAATAGATGTTCTATGCAAATGTATGAAATTCTAGGGAACGTCATTCGAACGCAGCGACACTGTCGCGGCGTTAGTGACGCGGCGTTGGTGGCAAAGACCAAAGCTAAAGACGCTGCGTCTGTGACGCTTAGTTCGAAAGGCTACCTTTAACAATAATGTTAACAGTATTGTTGTATTCCGGTAGTTGCAGGTAAGATAGCCAGTTCCTCCGAGGTTGAGGATTCCTGGTGAAGCTCGCTTCCACCTTCGGCCTGATCATCCTTATTGTGGATAAAAAGAAATCAATAAATAAATAAAAATGGTTTACATACCTACAAGTAAAATCCACAATTCTTGATTTATTTCAATCTCTCTCTTTCTCTAGTCACATTTCTTAGAAGGATTATACATTTATTTCTACCTTCATTATTTAAAACAGTGTCATATTAAACCTTAGTATTGTGCTTAGTAGGTGTTACCATTAAGGGTAAGGGTTAGCTAAATAAAATTTAGTACTAATAAGTCCTAATTTTGTCCACTTCATAATGATTCAGAATACATTTTCCTGCAAGAGAATGTGTCATACAAGTTCAGGTAAAACTTTAAATACTTAATGCCTGGTCTAGTGACCAAGTCCAACGATCAATACTGCACGTCAAGGTTTACACTGCGTCCTTATGTAGTTGGAATAAAATGCAGTTTTGCAACAAAAAGGCACAGTTCCATATGAAATCGATCGCACGAAGAAAGTTTTCGTAGAATCAGGACAGTTATTAGCTATGATGGATTACTGCTAATCGAAGTATTACTTCTAGTTGAATTTTTGATTTGATGAGTCATTGGTTTCATTGAAGTAAAATATTGAGCTTCATTTCCACATTTTCGGGTTACATATTAAGATTTAAATATAGCTCAATCAGTCACACTACTCGTAGAAATAAATTGCCGTTGGGGTATAAAAGTTTTCGAGTGACGACCACGGTCCACCTTGTGGGTGGACCGACGACCTGATAAAGGTAGCAGGAAGGCGCTGGATGCAGGCCGCTACCAACCGTGCGATGTAGAAGTCATTGGGGGAGGCCTATGTTCAGCAGTGGACGTCCTGTGGCTGAAATGATTATGATGATGATGACCACAGTCCACCAGAGGATCTTCGCGGAAAGAACCTCATCATCATCATCATCATTTCAGCCACAGGACGTCCACTGCTGAACATAGGCCTCCCCCAATGCTTTCCATGTTACCCGGTTGGTAGCGGCTTGCGTCCAGCGCTTTCCTGCTACCTTTATGATGTCGTCGGTCCACCTTGTGGGTGGACGTCCCACGCTGCGATTTCCGGTACGCGGCCTCCACTCCAGAACCTTGCTGCCCCATCGGCCGTCAGTTCTGCGTACCATATGCCCTGCCCATTGCCACTTCAGCTTGCTAATCCGTCGGGCTATGTCAGCGACTTTAGTTCGTTTACGGATCTCCTGGAAAGCACCTGGATACGGGTAACCCAGGTCGGTCGTTGTGGAAATATTAGGAAGGTCCTTGTCTAGTAAAGACGTTCTTTGACTGAAATGACGATTTCAAACAATATTATTATATCTGAATTTAAATTCTCAGCACCAACATGAACGTGGCCTAACAAATCATCACAACACAAGCTATAGTACGATCTAAGCACGTAGTCGCTACGCCACTGTATTTGTAATGTACTTGCGTCAATAGTATAGTGTAATATTCGATAGCAATTCTAAATAATATCTATGATTGTTGGCTCTGTGTGTGGCGTGATTGGGGGTTCCAATACTGGCTTTTGCCCGCGGCTTTTGCTGCGTAGATTTTGTTCACGAAAGCTATGAAACTGATTTTTTACAAAAATCCTTCCAGTAATTTTAGTGTAATTAAAGCTTATAAGCAGGCATAAATTTTAACAAAATTTTGCGTTTATAATATTAGTACAAATGTTTGAGCTTAGGCAAGCTTAGGACATTATTTGTTTTGTACCTACTTATTGCGTCAAAATTCAAAGGAATGAAAAGCAATAATTTACTGAAATCATCTCCATTTCAGAGTTTAGAGGTTCTTCAACATAAATGTAAATAAAGAATACTTAAAGCACAGAAGAAATACTAGTGCTAGTAAAAGGGCTACAATATTTCTAAACGTCAAATATAAACAAAACGTATGGAAATAGAGACTTT